TTTTTTTTTTTTTTTTTGTCGAGAGCCAAGACACAGGTAATGCACAACATTTTTTTTGCTGCATTTTACCTTCAAAACATTTGTCCTTACTGCCCGGGTCTCCTTCCTTCATGCCCACGTGTCATTAGAATGCGGGCGGGAGAGACTCGCCGCGACCGCCCGGGGTCTGCCCCGGGACGCGTGTTGCTTCTCTGTCCCAAGCAAACCCTCCTTGACCTTACTTAGGACTTACTCCCTTTCAAAGAAGTCTTCGCCCGGATCCGGCTGGGCATTATATTTTTGTGTGGCCAAGCTCTTCCTGGTAGATTCTTGGTTACCCTATTTTTAAATAAAACGTAGACAAAGTGAATTCTATTTTGATTATTGAGAAAGGCCTAGTTTTCTATCCCTCTAAGCATATACTTGAATCAGACATTTCAAGAATGTCACACTATAGCACTGTAGTCCTTTCCAAATTCCCGGAGAAAGTTTTTACCTTAAAAAAAAAAAAAATTCTGTTCCTGCATTATCGCTCCCCTCCTTCCTTTCTCCCCTGCCAACTCCCGTCCCAGACCTCGATGTTTATTTCAGGAGCTGTACACCCCACCCCCAAATTATGTGACCCTTGCAAATAACAAATGTCAGTTCATATTGTATGAGCCACTCGGTAGAGCAAGAAGCTCGTCCTGACAAGTAGAGTGGGTTCTTTTTCACTCTGTGTCTACTGATGTTAAGATTTAAAAAAAAAGTGTTGCGTAGTCACCCCCTCCCCCAACTCCCAGCTCGAATCTCTTTTCTTAGGGACGTTGGATTTCACCTCTGGCCTCCGGCGAGTTGCACAAACCGGGCCCTCGGACGATCGTTGATGGTTCCTATTTTCCCGTTTGCCGTCCTTTTGTACCTAAAGTCTTCCTATTGTACTGCACAAACCATGGATTGTACATATTTTTATATATTATGTCTTATTTTATTATTTCTAAATAAAAACTTAAACGTTGAACACAAACCGGCGTGAGATCTTTGGGCTTCCTCCGTGGAGAGCCGTTGAGCTGCGAAGGGCACGTTCGCACACAAAGGGACGGAAACCCTGAAGCTTTGCATGAGTGAGGCCATAGAAACCACCTGAACGGGCAGGTGCCGAGGGTGGCAGATTAGCTTAATCCACGTTAGAGGAAGTCAAGCTTATGTTTTGTTTTTGGAACAGAATAACCTACGTAGAAAGAGGTTAGAAAGGACTGAGAAACAAGCAAACAAAACCAACAAAAAAGATATAATAAGGTTTAGATTCGGCTATTTTTGTGGAATGATCACAGTCCTTTCTCTTGGAGCCTGGACGCTGTGTGGGGTCCTGAAGCAAATCGGAACCTCATTATTGCCCTGCTGGACATCACGGGGAGGCAAGTGCGTTTCCTACAGGGCCAGAGAGCAGAAGTTTCTGGTTTGCAGAACAGAGAGTCTTTGTCTGAGCTCGGCAGCTCCGCCCTGGTAGCGTGAAAGCAGTCACAAATGGTAGGAGACCAGCACTGCGGCCCTGCGGCCATAAACCCTGACTCACAGCTGCAGGGGGTGGGCCAGGTTTGCCCACGGCCTGGCCTGTAGTTTACCGACCTCTGCTATCGATGAAGAAGCCGAGGCCGGATGGTAAAGCTCCTGAATCGCCGAGGTGGTGTTAGAATTCGGGTTTTCTGTGGGAAGAAAATAACTAAGTCCGTGATTAATGTATTTTAAGACCCCAGAGCCCTGTTTTGAAAATAGTTCAGGTCGAGGATCCTAGTGACCTGATGATTTCAGTGACTGGATACATGAGGGTTGTTACAATGACTTTTTCAAAAGTGAGAGACTTGCAAGGGAACACCTGCAAGGTGCAGGTGCAGTAAGCCGATCAGGACACCTGGCTCAGGAGCAGGGTGACCAGCTGTCCCGGTCTGCCTGGGACAGAGAGGTGGTCCCAGGAGGCAGAGTCGGCAGTGCTAAAACTGGGGGCGTCCTGGGCGAACTGGGGTGGGTCTCTCATCTACTTGGGAAGCTGGAGAAGCAGAGCAGTTGGGGGAAGGAGAGGGGGGCAGTTAAGCCCGTGGAAGGGGAGGAGTTGGAGGAAGGTGAGGCAGATTGGCACAGGAGTGATGTTAACTGGTAAGAATAATAATAAATGGACACAGAATTGGCTCTCTCCAAATAAGTGAAGTTCGCTGCCTCCAGGCATTGACCATATAGGAGGAACGGTTTTCTAAAATATTACCCAATTTGGTTTATTGAATGCTTCCTTGTGTGGCCAAGCTCTTCCTGGTAAGAGGGGCTTTTAAAAGTTTGTCCAGTTAAACCACCAGCTGCTGTTCTGTCCAGGGCCAGAAGTCCCCGCGCACCATTTAGGTTTCTGCGTCTGATCTGCTGTGTTGAGGAAATCAGACCGTTCCTCAAAAGGGCTATATAACTAGTATATCAGAGTGGCGGGCAGGCCAGGAGCGTGCCGGTAAGACACAAAGGACATGGCCTGAATGTAGGGGTTTTGCGGTGCCCGGACTCATTTTCAGAGACCCTTTTTATTTCAGGTTTGAGATTATGTTCAGAGAGATTGAAGGCGTTAAGGGGTTTGATGTCTAAGAAACGCTATTCCGTTTGACCGAAAATTTATTAAGGAACTGTTATACGGTTGGCGTTGGTCACTCGAAGTTCTCCATCTGGACTTTCACAGTTTGGAGAATAGTCAGTTCAGTGGTATGTTCACTGTGTCTTACAACTGAGAAAAGCAACTGGGTTTTAGATATAAAACATTTATCCACAACAATAACCGCCGATTCCGGAGTCCACGTGGCGGATGAGGCACTGTGCAAAGATTGCAGATCTTGCCCTGCGTATATGGAAAGCTGCTCTGAGTTAAATATCAGCGATATCACCATGGGTGCAAGTGCTTTTGTAACATCTTACTGGGAATGGTTTAAGTTGATTTGGTAAAAACTATGCTCCTGTGGAAGCCGCTCTTCCGTTTCTCTGTTAAATGACCGCTCGGACCCTAGACTCTGCTTCGGTTAGCTCTGTGACATCATCTTTGCCTGTTTACCTCCCTGATCCTGATACAGGATCCCAGAGACATCCCAGGGTCAATTATCTGGGTACCTTCCTGTATAATGAACCAATGAACCAAGTTTCACACTGGATAGTTTTATTTGGCTTCTGTGTTTATAATTTTTGCTAATACACTTACTTCTACATCTGAAGCCCCCCTTAAGCAAGTTTTTTTTGATCCTGTGAGCAAAGAGAGTGTTTCACTAAATAGGATACCGGGGTGTCCTTAGGAGGAGCTGCACTAGGCCTGTAGACACAGACCCGTAAAAGCAGATTATTTACCAACAGAAGAAGTTCAGCGGCAAGTGCCTACACGTCCCGAACACAGCACTCCTGGCACAGGCGCCCTCAGATGGCAGCCACTCGTCAGGAAACGGGGGTCCGTGGAATCGACCTGCCGGAGGTTTCCTCAGGTCCCGAGGGATGCTCTTTGGGTGGCCGTGGGACCCACGGGGCGCTCCTCCCCGGCGTTTCCAGGCTCAGCCGAAGCTGCAGCCGTCACCTCGCTCGGGCACCCTCAGCCGGCGAGGCAGCTGAAGGCGATGCCTGGCAGTTGCCATGGGAACGGCGACAGGCCTCGAAGCGCCTCTCCTGCACACTCCTTCATTTCATCTGAGTGACTTTACTCGGGAACCAAAAATAAAAAGCGCACAGGGATGTAATTATATAAAGAGCCGCGCTCGGTGATCATAAATACAGTGTGTACTTTTGCTCGGGCTGCAGCTCACTTCTCCCTCCTCTCCCGAAACGGTTTAACTGTCAAACGGGAGCCTTCGCTGAAGGTTGAACTGAAGGGAGGCCCGGCTTTGCCGCCGTCAAGGAGTGAGGCTTCCTC